TTATTACATGTACAAGTCAGAACGAATTCAATATGTAATTTTATTCTGACATCAGCAAGTGAACATGGTTCTGCCTTGTACAAATAGATCCCCTGACTGTGCTATACATATCCAGAACTCCAAGCGAGAAAATCATAAAAGATATAAAAATAACAATATCAACAATCAGATAGACTCAAATCAAACAATTAAAAATGCCCCCTCCTCATTCCTTAAAATAGAATGGTCACTTCTTAAATACATTACATTTGTTCGGTCAAGAGAGGAAAGTTCAAAAAGGATAAACATGATAGTGTCCGATTCCAAATCATATATATACATGTAATTTTTTAAAGAATTACCTTTTTCATTTTGAAATATATTTTTACATAAATTTATGATAAGATACATTATCCTGCAATGACGCCCTTTAGCAACCTAATAAAGGAGTTACGTATACATGTAGAATAACATTGAAATTATTAGGCCTGTCATTAACCTTTCAAGGTTTCTAGTACCTTTTGATGTAAGCAGAGGAACTATGGTTGTAAAGTTGAAGTCACAGTATTTCACGTGGTTTCACGCTATGATTTTCAATTAGAACTCAAACAAATTTTTACCCATAATGTAGCATTTTTTTCATTGCAGGATGAAGCCAATATATGTTCATTGTTGGAAAATACAAAATTTATTTGTGCTTGCTACAAAAAACAACAAGACTCGTTTTTTCTCATGTTTCTAAAGCTCACCAAATATTTTGTTATACTTTCTGACAATGGCCATGTAATGTATATTTATCTGACTGTAAGAACAAATCAAAAGAAGTTATGCTAGTTCTATTTTCACATAATCTGTATTTGGGTAGACACCAAACGTTTTCTTCTGAAGCAGTGTCTGGGATTTCTTGCTGAGTTAATTTTTATTCACACAAAATATTTTTTTTTTTAACAGAAACCAGAGTTAAGAAATGTTGAATCAAATTTTTTTCTTTCCAACATGTCCAAGGTTGAGATTTTTTAAAGACAAATTTTGGATTTTTGTTTTTTTATCAAACTAATACCAAGCCTCCCTTGCTAATAAAATGGTAGGTGTCTTATATTTGTATCATACAATACTTTTCACTTATCAAACACATGTCTCACAAAACAAAACAAGTACTAACCCTGTCCTCAACATGACCTGTAATGGCTACTAATGTCGTAAGTCTGTGCCATGCAGATAGTTGTTCACATCTGCTTTTCATCAGGATTGCATAGGCTGATACTATGGGGGCAATTTTATCGATTGATATCCTTCCATCTGCACTGCACATTTTCCCCACCACTGTGCATAGTATATTGAACAGAAATGGCACCCTGCAATTACATCAAACATGTTAAATACATTTATATATAAAAATGTATAAACAAGTCTTAATTGAAAATAACGTTCAAACCTATGATTGCATTGGATAAAAACCGCAATTTTTATACGTGTGCATGCAAAACAAATTTCTTGGTAGAGGGGTCTAAATACAGCACAAACAACATTTTCCAAAAAACCATATCAAGTGAAAAAGTATAATTTAACAAAATGCATTTGACTAGCAGGTCGAACAACTGATGTTCTTATACCCTGCTGACTACCATTGGCGATTGCCACATGAACGGATCACAAGATGTAACAAAATATATCTTATTATTAATTTATTACCAAACAGAAAACAATAAACTTGCGGAAAAAATTGTATACCGCAAACATGAGGTGCACAAATTTGTACATGTATATACATGATATACATAGACAATGAACATGTATTTTATACCATGACTGGCATGTATACTGTAAATTCAGAAATTTTGAGAGGTTTTTATTATTACGTATAATGTGACTGGGTATTGCAATAATAAGAACTCCTATTCTGAAATCTGATGCATATTATATTATTTGCAAAGAGCAATTCCAGTAATCGCAATAATTATTCTCACATTTTGGTCCGTCATCAGGTCATGTCAAAGTCGCAATATTGTAAATGCACAAATTAATTTCTGAACTTACAGTCTTACAGTAGTATACAGGTTCAGTGAAATCGTTAACCTTCTACATGAAGACTACATTGTACATTGTATGAACTAAAATTGACCCACCACACAGGTTAAATCTATGACGTGCGGTGTTCTCCCCAGGGCCTTATAGCACCTGGTGCTATATTGTTTACCCTGGTGCAATCTTGGAGGATTTTATAATTGAACTTTAAAATAACAAAAATAGCAATTAAGTGAATTTACCTGTCCTTGATTTCTTGTGCCAGATCACTTATAAATTTATCCCTGAATCATGGAGCAAAGGAACCGATCTACACTTGTATAAAACAGATGACAGTGCTATATTCCTTGTCTCTAGTAGTGAACACTCCTTGTCTATTTCTTCAGCAAAGGCCTTCTCTAATCTTTCTTTAATTGCACGGTCATTAAATAAAGCATTTTGATCATTGTTTATCAAACATTTTAATAAGTTCTGAAAAGTTGTAGAATTCATATCTTTCAAATCAGATTCATGCTTGTTTTCAATATTATTATTAATCCCCATTGTTCTATCATTTTTCGGTTTGCTTGTGGTTTGAACAAAATAACAAAGATCCTTCATTCGATCCATATTCTCCATTGGCATTGTGCCGTCTATTGGATTGTCCAGGCTTTGATTAACCGAAGATTCGCCTGGTTCGGTAAGTTTTAACATTTTCTTTGCAGATGTTGTAATCTTCGATTTCGATTTTTTATAGCTTTTACTCACTTCTTCAGATTTGCTTAACTTTTCACACGGTGAATTGTACATTCTTTTTGTTCTAAACATATTTTTTTTTCACTATAGGAGTCCGCATTCTCCTTCATCATGATTTTGAATGTTTTCCATTTGTCGACAAAGTTAAGACAACCTCGACAAATTGGTGCCTGGCAATTTACCAGCTCTGTTATAATCGTGGAATCTAAAAATGACGATAGACTGTTCAACAGACCTGTCTCCTCGCATTTCGTACCACCAAGCTTAAACGATCTTGTCTGACCAGCAGTAAGACAACAAAAACACGTTACGTTTTCCTTCTTTACCGGTGTGGCCGTCTGAGGGCCGCCATTTTTGCTGTTATATGACCGATATTCCACCGCGTGATCGAAAGAAGTTCTTAGTCGGGTGCAGAGAGATTGAGATGGAAAGGACGACAAATCTGTCTGTATGGGAGATTGGGCTGCATTACGTCATTTGAAATTTTGTCACAGTGCAGTAAACATGGCGTTCTCTTGCAAAAAGTATGGAAAATTATTTTTTTGCATGCATTTCATTAATTCTTCTTTGAACATGACTTTAACAATGCAGAATATAATGGTAACATACCAGTACGTCATTGTTTTTATTTTTCACAAAGCATAGTACGATACGATATGAATCAGCATATTTGTCATTGTTTTACTTTCAGAAGTTCAAGTTAAATCTTTTCCTCGTAGTTGAATGGATAATTTGCTTAAAGATTACACTTTTATATTGTCGTTATACGCTCAGTGCTCATCTTGAAAACAATCACATCGATTTAAGGAAAGCACTGTGTAAGCAGACACTTATTTTCAGGCAACAAGTCTGTAGGCTGACTGTAAATTGTCTGAAAGCTCATTTCTTGTCGACTTCATAACTATTTCAAACATTTGAATAGATGATTGTCAATCAACTTTGGTTTATTTATTTTCGCTTTTCATGGTTTTTTCAAAGTCATGATGTCATTTATATTTCAACCGTTGGCGGATTAAAGAGGGGGAGGCTACATTTATGGTTAATGCAGACTTTTTACCTGTTCAATACAAAGGTTGTCTAGTTTTGGGCCCTGGGCACCCCCTTTTTCAAATCCTGGATCCGCATCTGAATTTGTTCGCTGATTTGTTCTTTGGTATATGAATAGCTGTCTATACATTGACAATGAAACCACATCTCCTTAATTTTTATATGATGGTCCCACAAAAAAATGTCGAAAATGTGTATATTTCATTCTTTTTTTCGCTTCATGCAATAGCGGTACCTTTTTGATCACTATTTATGTGTTGCGTCTAAATATGAATTGTAACACTTAATAGTGACTGAATAGGTTGAACAAATACTTCTCAAGAAACAAAAAAAAGAAGAAAACATGCACCTTGGAACAGCACCAGACTATTTATAAATAAAAACGCAGATCAGAATAGTAAGAAAATATATCAATAATACTGCGGATAACGCAATTTTTTAAAGTTTAACGGGTTTTTCGTACATTTTCTGTTTAAATTTTTACACAACCGTTCGAAAGAGCTAAACTAACTTCACTGAAACAAAGTCAAGTGTTTCATTCACCAAAAAACTCGTGCGTTTCTGCGAAAAAATTCACGCTCGATTTTGTGAATGAAAGGTAAAGTAGATCCTTACGCAGTGCACTCGCGCATGTCAATTGCGAACTGATCCAATATTTTTTTTATCAGGACCAGTCCACTGATACTTACATTATCAGCGAGTACACATCAAAGAAGAAATGCAGAATTTACCAATAAACGGAATTATCATCCTCATGCATAGCTCTGATTTCCTCTCCGGGTTTGGCTTTACTTTTTGTCCTTTTTGGTTTTATGAGCTTTTCAACGTTTGTGTTATGTTTTGTATTTTCAAATATGTCGACTTCAAGAATCCCTAGGCGGACACTCATTGCCAAAATGCACATCTAGTGCAGTAAAATTGGTACTGTAAATGTTATTACACATCAACTTTAAAATCATGAAATAATGTGAAAATTTTTCAGTAAATGACAACTAATTTGTTCAAATATCCTATCTTCTGACTGAGTGTTGTTCGTTTGGTATCAATCTACAATTGTGTACTGCTTTATACTAAAATGTAGTTTCAAACTATAACAAGAATCAATACCAAAGTTAAATTCAGATAAACAATGACGTTGGATTTTTAGATAAGATAATATATGATAGAATGAATGGTAAACCTTGATTTGGAATGAATAAAAAAATAAAACACTATTTCTATAGAATATTTCTTTGAAAATATAATAAACATTAAACTAACATTAAGATATGAGCACATGCAAATAACATAAATTAATCTTCCTCAAAAGCAGTAAGTTAATATAAAATAGCAAAACCAAAACATGAATCTAACTGAAAATTAAAATCAAGAGGAAACAGAAATAGGAATGCTTGATGCACATAAATAAAAAAAGGCCTAATTTGTTAAATAAAAAAGTGGTCATACAAATGCAGTAAATTTTAAGGACTCGTAATATTAAAAGAAAAAAAATAGCACATGAAACAAAGCATAAGGCAATGGAAAGTATATGTTCACACACTGTCTTGAGAGTCCCCCGACCAACTAATACCAATATAGTTTAACGGTTTTCTACAATACAATATCATTGATAAGTATTACATTTAATAAAGACATGAGAAATAAATATTGTTTCAATCAATAAAAAGTCAGCAATACTCAAACTGTTTTTGATGTTACACAAAAATAAATAAATGACTGATTGTAACATGAGGCAGACTAATCTGTTACGATTTTGACAAATCAAAATGGAATGAATATAGGTATTATGAATAAAGTGAACATTTAACTGGAACATATTACATTCAGGGCAATATGTACTATGCTTATCAATTCCACGAAATCAATTAAACAAAATGACAGCTGAATTACATTCGTTGTGTAGTCTGATATAGTCGATAATTTTTTACCTTTGAGTTCAAATTTTCTTTTAATCTTTTTTTTTTTATTTTTAAGGTTAATACCATCATATTCTGAATATGAAACGAATTTGTCATCGATTAAATTTCCATGTCCTGTGAGTTTAGAACAAGATGTTGATATTGAAATGTTGTTTGCTGTGACTTTAGTGTTTTCATTTTGATTTGCCAGTTCAACATAGCAATCATCTAATCTTGAAGCTGCTAGAAACTGAATATACCCTCATCCCGCAGTAAACATTAGTTTTTCCATAAGTTTCATATTTTCGTCACTTTATGCCGTAGAAAAATCAAGGATGTCTTTGTCATCTAAAGTCAAAACATCTTCTGTGATCAGATGGTCAACTATATTCTCGTTTTTAATGGTGGCCACGATATCAGTGTATTTCTTTTGTAATCGAGCGCGGAATAAAGGTACTTTCCTGGTTGATGAATCTGAATGACAAAAATGGAAAAATAAAATACATTACAATGTGCATTTGTTTACATTAAAGTGCTTTTATAAATAATACCCAATATATTCTCAAATTTCTCTTTTGTAATCAGCAAATAACAAACTTGTATAAAAAAAATTGCAATGTTTTTTCGTTGTTGTTTAGTTTTGATAAACTGTGAGACTGATTAGATCGAAATTGTTGTTTGCCATGGCGTTGTCATTTTATTTTCGACTTATGAGTTTGAATATCACTTTGGTACCTTTCGCCTCTCTTTTATTTGTTATTTCATCATTCTATTGTGCCGCTGTTATCTTATCGCAACAATATGGGTTCAAGTTGATTACACAAATACAACTGTTATATTATGCCTGCCTAAAATATAAAACGAATAATAACTCGTCATTGCGTCTTACTACATGTATTTTACAATACTTTTGGTTCAGGTATTTTTCTAGCTTGGTTTATATAGACATTGAGCTAGTGTGAACTGGCCATTCGTTGTCATTATTTTTAGAATTTGTTGATTAACGTGTTTGTTGAGTTGCTGTCAATGGCACTAACCTATGTGTTAACTATCCATTTTATTACAAGATTTAAGCAGCAATTGTATACAAAATTTGATTATATATTCCAAGTCTTGCATTTCCACTCCAGTGTACCCCAATTCAGTTATTGCAACGGTTTGTTTGCTTGTTGTGATTTATTATGTGGGTTTGTACAGCTGCTATTATCAAAACATATTGGGAAACATTTAAAACCTTACAAAAAACAGTCGTAAATAAAGGATCCATGTATCTTTCATATATTTTCCAAACATACACTTTGTAGATAAAAAAAAACACGTAGTACCTTATCAACTATCAAGGAACGAAATATCTTAAGTTCTGAAATAAATGAATCTATATCAATTATACATGTGTTTGGATCATTTATCCTCTCTCTACAATTAACTTTTAATAGTAAAAACGCTCGTCAAGGCTTCTGTTTAAATTTGAAATGTCTCGAATAAAGAAATTTCGTTTCGCATTTAACCCCGGTGGAAGTATCTATATCCAACCAACTAGAGATATAAACATTATCAATATATCTCAAATATTTTTATTGGTGAATTTTTAACCACGTCTTCAGTTATATGATTTATGGAAACATTATGCATTTTCACAACATAATAAACACACAGACATTAATTACCATGTTTATCAACTATTGCATGTAATTCTGATTGTTCTGATATACTTTCTCTATCCTGCTTTTTGTCCAAATCTGTGTCCTGATGAAAATGAAAACATTCTGTATATCTTCAGATAAAAAGGAAGTATCGGTTGCATCCGCAAACTAAAATTTTGAAAAGATAAATAAATAAATAATGAAATACATCATTTACATATCTGTAAGAAAAGTTTCCCTTTTCTATGGTTTTGTTTTCGTATCTTCATTCCAAAAACAATATCTAATAATTATCTTGTTTTAATTTGTTAAATCGTACAGTACTTATTTGTTGATGTTTCTTTGGGTTTTTTTTTTGTTCTAATGCTATGAAAACAGCCTTATGATATCAAACTCAAAAGGTAGCACAGATCAATCGACAAAAGTAAAGTTAAGATCACCTAAAACAAAACATCAAAATGTGTCTTCAAAATCGTCATTTTAACATATTCTGTCGCGGTCGTCCATGTGATAGCAAATATAAGTTCTATTAAAAGTAAATTTCAAATCGTCGACTCTAGCACTTAAATCAAAACATATGGACAATCTAGCAATTGAAAATCTTTAACAGTGTCATCGAAGTAATTTCAATTCACGATAAGTGCAGTGGTAAAATATAAATATGTGTTTCTAAGCATTATGTACAAACACATTGATTTTAAAATAACAATAATAATGGTCATGTTACATGTTCGTCTTGCTTTTCTGGTAGCATTTTCCGCAGTATCCGTACCCCTTTCTTGATAAAACTTGAAAAGCCATCACCTACAATAAATATCCTCCGCATTATTTAAAATATACAAGTGAACGACATTTTCAAAACAACTCTTAGCAAACAACTTAAATGCACCCACATGTATTTAAATGTTCTGCCTGTTCTATAATAACTCAAGACCAAACATATGACCCATTTACAACAATGTACAATATTTCTAATATCAAATTCAATTTAAGAGCTTTGTTTGAGAATAATTTCATCGGGGCTTGAATTTATACTGATTTTATCTCGGGTTGGCCCTTTAATCAAAATATTTTACCACGAGCGATAGCGAGGGGTAAAATATCTGCATAAAGGGCAAACCCGTGGTAAAATCAGTATAAATTCAAGCGCCCATGAATTATTTCTATTCTGATAGGACAAATACGGCAATTCTTTTGGATCTAAGCGCTCTAGGTGAAGACAAATATTTGCTATTCCCGGAAATAAACACACTGTTATATTGACGTAAAAGAACGGAGCAAACTGAACTAGTGACATGCTTAAACTATTTACAATAACGTATTAAGATAGTTTTAGGTGAATTTAAATGATAATTTTACTTATATGTCAAACAATTGGCTTATAACACATTTTTCATCGTTTGTTTATGTTTCCTTGTTTTGCTAACTTTCGGTTTTGCAACAGTGCATTTTCCCGTAAAATGATTATATTCTTACTCCATCGGTCAATGGCTTCGGGTAGCTCATTCATAAAAAAGCATATGACGTGGGAGTATGATCGGAACGGCCAAACCAATATTTTCATATATTACCACGGGTGTGTACTCAAAGCGTTTGAAGAACGTCATATTATAATGCATAATATACACAGGAAATTGAAATTCTAAACAAATCCGTCGAGAAGTATAAAAAAATGCTTTCAAGGCAAAAATGTTTTTGGGGATCAATATTTATTTGTCAAAGTCTAAAATGAATGTTTCGTATAGATATCAAGGATTTGCGTTTTCATAATGTTTAAGTGTAGTTAATGTATATGGTTCTTGAAACAGCATTCATTAAAACGTTAGTAGTTGTCCAATTTACCACCATCTGCAAATAAAGATTATTTTGCTCTTCTTTGGTTGGATAAAAAATCGAAAGTTGTATATATCAGGTAAACAAAAATTTTCTGCTTTAAAAGGAAGAAAAATGAAAGTGTAAAAAAGGAATGTGTGAGATGTCTATATATGCCAACACGACAGTACTCTTTAAATGATGTCAATATGAAATCTGTTAATGAGTTTAGAAGCACCTGATAGTCCTTAACATTATATCAACGAACCTGAAATAATGCTGTTGAGGTTTTTGTTAAACATTGTTCAATATTCAAAGGAATAAAATTTGCACAATGTGCTATTAAATTACAATTCCACGTTTTTCTATAATGATCACAATATACGGCAGTTGTCGACTCATGCTTGTACATAGTGTCTAGTGTATCTTTAGTCTTTGTGTAAATCAAGACAATGTTAACCAATTTGATAAGGAGATGGTATGATAAAGCCACTTTTCGGCACCATGAATTTTAATAAATAACATCTTTTTTTTAGCTGTTCATAAGACAGAATTCAGTCAGACATCAGTATCTAATTTTTTTAATTTTGTCTTACATATTGCTATTCGGGCTTCACACCTCTCAAATGTAGTTCAAAACAACGAAACATGTTGCAGTAATGGGTGTTATCTTGTAACGAAACTCGTCTACAGTTATTCTTTCAATTTATTTGTCTATCATCTTTATAATGCTATTCTATACTCTTCTAATTCACTAGATTTTAGCGAAAGTTAACACTATTAAACCACGTTATGAAGATATACAGGAAACGATTTTATTCAAGATAACAAAATTTAAAAGAGTTTGGATAGTAAGTAATTCAAATTTATCATAATAACCCTGCAACTGAACTTTGAAGTTTTCTCAATTTTGACATTTTCTTCATTGTCATGTAGACCGTTTTACTAGATATTATTTTATATCAATTTATAAAGAAACCTTATTACAGTAATGAGTGAATTGTACAATTAGGAAATCAAAAGTTTAAATTATAACATGTAAACCATTATAGTTTGACCTACATATTTATCGGCTTTGAACAGCATTCAGTAACTACGAGCACTCTCCAATCTGTAACTGTGTCTTAAAAAGGTTTTTGTTAGTTGTATGTATGCTATGTATCGATCTTGTGAGTTTAGCCCTTCATGTGATTTTTATAGTTTGTTTTTACATTGTCCTGTTATTCAGTTGTGTTTTGTTGCTGTATGTCATATTTGATTTTCTCTTATTGTTCTGTACTTTGTCCCTGGTCAAAGGGATTGTTGATCGTCCCTTTACATGTTAACTCGCCACATTGTGTATGTGCCTGTAATAAAATGGTTGTCGTTTGTTGCTGTATATTGTATCTGCAGATTTGTTTATTTCCCCTATTCATATGTATATTCTTGTATTTTATGCCTTTCAAGCTGTTAATTTCAACAGCTCGTATCTCAAAATCTAAAACGATAATTACAATTTATTATATCAATTTTTAATAAATTCTGTAAATTTGTTGATAATTTGTAGGCAATATTAACTTGTAAAGTTAAAAAATAGTGTGAAGCAGTTGATTACTTAATTATTATCAGTGCTAGTGCAATGAGTTTTTACTAAGTCATGTCCAATTAAATTTATATTAACAGGAAATGCCAACAAAATGATCATTTTCATGTACACAAACTGCACTATCAATTCACAGCATACTCGTCAAAAGCCACAGTAAATAAATAAAAAGTAGAAAGAAATGTACGAAAGAAAAGAAACAATAACACGTGTTTCACCCCTAATATTAGCAATATACTGATGCTACACTGTTTTTTTAAGATAGCGTATCATATCAAAATTTCAAATCCAAAAACATCCTGCTTAGTACACGAAATGTTATCATTTACCAATACTTGTTCTTTTCTTTCTTGTACTTTCTGTATCGAAAGCTACCTCAATCTAAAAAAATCAATCGTAAAATTTGAAAGTTCAAAGTCATGTTTTTATAAGCATATCATTGCTTTATTGTTTTTATGATTTATTCCAATAACACAGACACATTTTTTATGCAACATACAAGTAACATGAGCTTCAGTTGTACATTTGATTAACAACTTCGTACTTCTATATTTTCAACGACATCGGTTATAAGTAAACAATTTTCAGCTAACACAATGACCAAGAAACAAGATATACACTCTGTTTCAAATCTGCATATCAATTAGTTTTTTTTGGTCGCTCCCTGCAATTTCGTTTCTTCTGTCATTGTTGTATTATGAATCAACCCTGGTTTCTCTTTAGAATTGTATCATAATATGTAATACTAGTGCTATTGCTGATTATACGGTACAAGTTTTGCTCATTGCTGAAGGCAGACCGATGACTTGTATTTGTTTTAATTTTTTTCTGTTTGACTTTATAAATAGCCGTCTCAATGGCAATCATAACACATGTCTTGTTTGTATCTTAATAGTCATTTGGTACAAATGTCAAATAAGAATTAAAATTCTTCGCTCTTTACGAAAAATTGTAGCCCTCTCATTATGAATGACCCTTTTAGATATCTATGAGATAATTAAAGTAGCAGTGAGCTAACGACAAAAAAACAAAAAAAAACAAAAAAAAAACAAAAAACAAAAAACCAAAAAACAAAGCCAAAGCTTAATTTTTATATACTATATATTTTTTTCCAATAGTGAATGTTTTACCTGAATATATTGTTAATTCTTTCATGACACTCGAAAATTAACAATTGAATTATGGTGAAGACCCCAACAGTTAATTTACTATCCGTAAAATTTTAAAAAAAAAATATATAGTTGGCTTCTATAATGAACTGATAGCAAAATGACATGATCATCGATCAGCAAAAATAGAAGATACAACTTCTAACACAAGTCATATTTCAATAGTTTGCCAATGGGACATGAATTATTTTTTCCATAAAGAACAGTGAAACATCAAGAAATTCTGGATTTAAAAATCTACATTACAATATAATCAGAAATAGCCAAAAATAGCTGGTTTATTTGTATTGATATCCAAAGACAAACTTAAAATACTAAAATTCAATAATAAAAAAAGCAGATAAAAAAAAACTACTCGTACTTACAATTGCTGTCATGCACTGCTCGATATTTTTTTTGGTTTCAAGTGAAATTTCACAGTATCGTAATTTTTGTTGAGTGCAAAGGAATGTTATCTCTTTCTCTACGACTTTATTTATCATGCTCATATCTAAAACAAAACACTGTTTAAAATTTTTGTTGACATACCTAAAACAATTCATTTTCAGATGAAGCAAATGATTAATTTAGTGCATAAACATTAATATTAGTACATATTCAAACATCCATCCATCCATCCATCCATCTATCCATCCATCCATACATACATACATACATACATACATACATACAAACATCCTTAAATACACACATCCAAACATCAAACATTCATGTATGCTTCAATACACATTGAGACATTTGAAAGGATTATATTGGTACACAGAAAACAATTCGATTTTCTCTGCACTTTCCTTTTTTCTTACTTTGTTCTACCTTATCGGACAATCTGCAGCCTGGTTATGGTTGTTTTTATATCAGTATCAAAATGTACGATAAATAGCACTATTTCCACATGAACATTATGCTATAAGTAAGGGAATATTTTAAAAGTCGCATATAATTACAGTTATATTTTGCAGATGCATTTCTTTAATATTTTTAAAATATAATACTCTTCATAAGTATATTATAATTAAAAGGTAACCCGTGCAAACTGAGGGTTTGAAAAACACTTTATATCGTTCTATATTATTTCTTCTTTTCAGAATTTCTTAATTGAAATATCCGTTGTTGTGTATATCAAAGATAATTGATTGATTATACAATGGAAACTGAATGTTTTATAAAACTGAGTCTTTGAAATGGGTGACAACACTTATAACATGACGTATCTGAAAAAAAATATAAATTTGTTAGTTATTAGTTATTATTGATTAAACGGGGAAAAGGACTGCTGTAAACTTCTTTACATCTCCGTATCTAGTATGAACTTTTGTGACGCTAAATTCTACAATTTTTTGGCCTTCCACAACTATGAGCAGACCCCATTTCATATGGTATAGTAGGCTCTAAAAGATCCCGACATAACATAATATAAAATCTTAGTTTACAGACTCCTGAATTGGAATAGGCATGGAATGCCATGAGAACAAACTAGCTAAGAAAAAGACACCAAATAACGTTCTTAGAGTACTGGCAGTTATTGAAAGCTAATTCAAAGACAACTATAACTCACAAATACACATGATTCACATAATCTTCAAATGTAAAACTAGAAGTTTAAAATGTATAAAACTTAACAAAACATTTCCATCCAAATAAGTACAATTTCCTAAATTGACAACTGTTTAAATATCTTTTGAAATCTGATATTGAAAATGTATCTGATACGAGCAAATATTATCAGACGGTTAAGAATTACTGAAGCCTTTATTTGGTACGTTTCAAACATGACAAACATGACTAAAATTGACCAAAAGGTCAAGTGTAAGGGGGTTAGCCTTGGTAACCCCACAATTTTCCTCTCGTTTAATCTTATAACACAACAATGCAAGAGAAGGAATTCATTCATTTTCTGCCAGAGTCTTGTTGAAAAGTACATTTCATGTTTAGGGTATTTTTAATATGACCAGTTTTGGGGTACCCTTAAATACAGTCGAAAACACTAGTAAGTATATATAAATGTGTGTTTTTGTACATGTTCTCATTAGGGATATCCATGACTATTAAACTGCGTAGTAGAAACATATTTTAAAGTAAATCTGAAACTTCATTGTAACATTTGTAGCCTGCATGTAAATAAATGGTTTGAAGTTATTCGATAAGTAAAAAATTCTAGCCAGTTAAGATACACATGTATTTTACCAACTTTGCTGAAAAACATATCGTTTAAGTAATTCAATTTAGTTGAAAAAAATATGGTTTATAATTCTGTAAAATCACAAAATTGTGTTGATTTTGGCCGTTTGGAATTTATTCAAACAATTCTTTGGAGAGGACATTCTGAATTGCATGAATTTTAATTGGAACAGTTCATTAGATTCAATATCAAGAACTATTAAGAAAACCAGCAATTGTAGATAACATACTTATTTTCTTACTATTCAATGAAAGGAAATCATGTCTTGTAGGTGTATTACCACCATTGGTTTTTCCTTATAAGTCTTTGTTAAATTTACACTTTTCCACAAAATGTGCAGAATTTATCTTTATTTCAAATAAAAAAATACTTGGCATGAGTAAAGTTTTATCCTGTCTAGTACAACAGACAACATTTTACATAACATTTCATTGCATATAAGATAATAACCATCACTGGAAGTTAACCAATCAAATTTTCATCCCATTTTTTATTGTGCACAAGTTTCAGTAACCATGTAGCCTCAAGTTTCCAAAATATTCTATAGTAACACCAAATAAAAAATGAATGGTGCTTTGAAACACCCAAGATATATGTTTATGACACAGAAAATTTTAAATGTAATGAAATGTAGGATTAATTTCCTACAACCTTCAAATTCAAGGGAATATGTTTTTTCGACCCTTTTTCCTATGCAACCGGATGTTACATACCGTGATTTTGTGGTATTACACCTGAAGAGTAATACGAAAATCAGTTAATATTTAATTACCTGATTGAACTCCTATAAGTAGAATTTTGGCATTTTTTGAATATCTTAAACATTCCTGAACCCATCGTTCTTCTATACTGTAAAAAGTATCAGGATCACCAACATCAAATGCCAGAAGCATAACATCTGCATTTTCATATTTCATTCGTCTTAGGTTACCTGCTTCTATAAAATCCTGAAAGTACAACATATGTTTGCTTAAAGACTGGATGTTTACGTCCTTGTGTGTGCATTTACTTTTAAGAATACTTTTATTCCCATGAGACATTGACTTCTTACGGCTGTTTTATATAGTTAATGTACAATGCCTTTGTGATATAACTAATTATTTAGCATTTTATTACATGTCTTTGAAATGAATTCCTCAGATATGCATTCTCATTTGTAAAACAATACATTACTTGAATGAGGTTATGGAGGATAAACTATCAGTAATTTCACCTTAACTTTCAATGAAATAAAAAAAGTGCATTTACTTTTAAGAATACTTTTATTCCCATAAGACATTGACTTCTTACGGCTGTTTTATATAGTTAATGTACAATGCCTTTGTGATATAACTAATTATTTAGCATTTTATTACATGTCTTTGAAATGAATTCCTCAGATATGCATTCTCATTTGTAAAACAATACATTACTTGAATGAGGTTATGGAGGATAAACTATCAGTAATTTCACCTTAACTTTCAATGAAATTCAAAGTTGATGACCCCAGTGTGTGCAATAAATAACTATACTTTTTATAATACGGAGTTTCTAATAATTCTTACAGTTGTAATATTCCACAAACAGACTTTTTACAGATAATATAGTCACAAGTACTTTGGATATTGTATAGATAATAATATCTAGTCAACATCATATATACAGTAATAATTCATTATAATTTTCTAAACTGAAAAAGCTTTTTTTGTTTGAATGTCTCTCCGTATATCTATAAAAACAGAAAAGTATACACTTCAAATGAATACTGATTTCATATAGGTATTGAAAGTACGCACATGATTTAATAAAGATACTTGTTGTTGCCTCAGAAGTTATTTTTATGGTTAGCCTATAGAATTAGACTTAACAAGTTTGTACTAAAATTAGCAACACGACGGGTGCAATATTTAAAACAGGATCTATTTACCCTTCCGAAGCACATGAGATCACCTAGGTTTTTTGTGGGGTTCGTGTTGCTAAGTCTTTAGTTTTTCATATTACTGTTGTTTGTCTTATGGTCTTTTTTGCCATTGTGTTGTCAGTTTATTTTTTACTTATGAGTTGTAATGTCCCTCTGTTATCTTTCGCCTCTCTTTTAGTTTTAAATGCGATAACTGAAGAGTGACAAAATTGTCTAGCTAAATACAATTGCAAAAAAAACGTGGAGTGTAAAAACTTTTATTTAGATACGAAATAAAATAGAAAATATTCAATACAAACATTATTTTATATACACAAATATACAACATAACTACTTACGGAATCCACAGTATTGAATAATCGGATTTCCACCGTTAATTTGTCAGAAATCAATCGATTGCAAGTGAAGTAATCCTTCACTAAATTGTGGATACAAGAATTTTCAGTACATTTACACTGTTTTTCTGAAAGAACACTCAGAAGGTCGGTCTTTTTAACAGTGGGATCCCCTAAGCACACAACTTTTAAAATTTCCATTTTGTGTCCCTAGTTAGCTGCATAAAATAACGGTCGGACTCTGAAATAAGAGCGGAAGAAAGAATCATTTAATGTTTTATTAAGTGTCACTTTACTGAGTTAGCAACTATGATTTAAAACGATTCGTCCGAAATGCATGAAAAGGTGTAAATTAAAGACAAAGTTTGTAAAGAAGCAAAACTAGGTAAAGTTTACAAAATATTTCAAAGATCGTGGAAAAAAGATAAAAAGACCATTTAAAGATTTACGTATAAAAAATTGTCTAGCAAATTGCTTAATCTTGATTTACCTTCATCAGAAAAGTTCAAAATGAAAAACGTTTAAAAATACGCTGAAACATTATGAGCTAAATGACCTTACAGGGCCCTTACAAAATAGCTAAAATTCTTTAATGTCAACTATTTCGTCTTCTTTTTTTTTTCTTTTATTATTACATTTTCAGTATTTTTCAGTAAAATTAACTGTTTATCTAGACTCCTATCTCTATATTTTGGAGATGAAGCTATTGTGGGTATTAAAGAAAAGAAAGTGCCAACTGCTGTAGGTCGAGTGATTTGTCAAAAAGCAAAGAAAAATTCAAATAAAAATGTTTTTACAAAACGAAACAAAAAGAAAAGAAAAGTTTTATTGAATAACGAAATCTTTCATTTTTGTTTTCATTTTTTTCAATTTAGTGCAATTTAATTTTCACATACATGTTATAAATAGTTATCATTATGTCCTTAAATAAGCAGTATAGTTTGGGTGCTTGTTAATAAAAAAACAAAGACAGCTGTTTTTTTTTTATCATTGTTGCTTTGGAGAACGTGGAAAATGACAAGATACATTCCTAAAAGAGTACCGCATTAAATATGTTTGGCTATGTTCTTAATTGTTCTCGATTCGATAGCATATGTTTCTTCTGCATAGTCGATTTCAATGTAACCGTTTTGGCTGTTAAAGTTGGATTACGCAAGTACAATCAGCTGTAACATAAACACTTCATTTGAGTAGCTTCACTCTCGTATCTTCAACTGAATTCAATCCCTATGATTACACTGTTTATTGAATACCTTGATTAAGAATGCATTTATCAATCTGGTTGCGCTTTGACAAGAAATTGTAAAGCTGATATTTTTGCGACATATTCAAAATCAATAATTTTATAATTCTTACCAATACACAGAATGTAGTATCATCTTAAACTATCGTGTTACCCAAAGTTGAAGCTCAAGCAAACCGTACAGCTAAAAAACATTCAAGCTAATGAGAAATCATTACTTACGAACATCAAGGATATAAGGTTAGTTTAAATATTAAACAGCAACATGAGCAAAGGATGTCCAAAGTGTCCTACACAAAAAAAAAAGTAAAAAGAAAAAGTACAGAAATTTAACGCCATTTATTTACGTTTTGAAAAAAAAATAATTCCTATCAGTTATGATCGATACCAAATCGATGATGTTTTTGAAAGTACGAAACGGTAAAGAGCGTTAATATCAAAGTATTTCCGAAAGGTGACATAGATATATTAGGCGTAGTTTGTTTTTACCTGTACAATAAAATAATAACTTTAGAACTCAACACTTTCCAAATCCTTTGTTTTTATGGTGTCGACTAACCCCATAAATGTCCAATTGGTGGACTAATTATCCAAATGAATGTAAAGTGGAGTTCTTCCAAACATTGTAATATTATACAATTTAATAAGTAAATAATAACGACTTCTGACCGAAATCGTTCACTTAAAATTTTCAACATGGATGTATGGTTTGGTTGTTTTTTACAATGCAATATATAAAACGCACAATAGATTAAAGTTCTGTTAAAACATAGATAGCCACTACGGTACACAATTTTCAACAATATTGTGTAACTTGAGACTTAAAAACACAATAAGTGTGCACTGTGAATTTTTACAATCCGTGTGCTTCTGTTTAATCTACAAATCAAATCATATGATCTGTTGACAAGTTTTATTTTTAAAGCTTTCTTGTTTTTTTAAATGGTTTGATAACATATAGACAAATTTACTATTTATACAGAGACGTGTGGTTTGATCTGTGATATTCTATCTATCAAATCAAGTTTATAGAGTGTGATCGGTTGAGAAGATTGATTGCATCTTTCTTTGCAATTGTGCCATTATTTAATTAATTTAATAATTTAGAGTATCGTATATGGCTTAATTGCAGGAAATAAAATTTTAACTCAAGTTCTTTATCACTGAATGAGAAAGGTTTTAATTGTATATAGAATACCTTTTTATTTACACGAACTATAAATCACCAATACAATTCAAATTTGTGTCATGTCTTCCTAAAAAGCTAATATTTGAAGACTTCGGTATCCCCTCAGTTGATCTAATATGGCATTAACATCATTCTCAACAAGATCCTCTTGTAATCCAATAAGTTTGGAAAAGTATTTGTTTAAAGGAGTTGGTTCACTAACTCACAATTTTGGCCCACAAAATCTTTAAATTTGATGAAAACGTAATGTAAAATGTCTTATAGTTAAAGAAGATTTCGACAATTGCGTCATTAGTGATATATTTGTGACGTCATAAATGTAGATGAAAGTCGTAAAAACCTGATTTTTGGCATTTTCTGGCAAAATGTATGACAGTTTTCTGTAAAAAAAACAGTGGTGCCAACCCTCGACAAACAAATAGTTTACTGAATTATTTTTCTACATATCATATTCCTCACTACTATACCAAAATTTCAATGAGCGAGGGGTGGAGTTACCTATAAAATTATGAAATAAGGTCGAAAAAGCTGAAAATTTTCTTGAAAAATGGAGTAAAATGAAACAAATTTCTATTTCAGGCTAATTTTATATGATATATGAAACGGATATACAATTTTACTTTCAAACATTATACATTTAGCAATAATTAAAGAGTGGAGTAGTAGCACAACATAAGAACAAAATTTTAACAATACATTTGTAGTTGAAAAAAAAGCCCATAAAAACACCACTGTAAAAAAAAATCCTCAAAAAACGCATGTACCGATATAAGAACAGATTAATCTATTTAAGTATTCTATTTATCAATTTTCAGCTTACCAAATCATATCAGGGCTTTTAAATTCCTTGAATGTGTATTAGGATCATCTGCCGTTCTCAATCTTCAAAACGTCCTGAAGTTAAAACCCTCCATTTCTAATTGACCATGTAACAGGAGACCTAGTTTTGGTGTTTGCAAGGTTCTATTTTTAAATATATGATCAGATTATAATCTGGGATTTAAAAAAAGACACTTTAAATAGAAACGACACTCCTTTACGATTAAACTTGCATGACGTCATAAGTTGAAATAAAATTAATTTACATTGCAATTGTAGTCATAAACTGTCAAATACAATTTGTTTTTCTTGTGGAACAAAGCTCATGACAAAAATATCCTTCAGTTGGTAATTCTACAAATAATTTAAAGAACGACAATCCAACTTATATATTACATATATATATATATACAAGTCTAAATTGAAAACAACGTTCAAACCTATGATTGCGTTGGAAAAAAACCGCAATTTTCATACGTGTGCATCCAAAACAAATTTCTTGGTAGAGGAGTCTAAAAACAGCACAAACAACATTTTCCAAAAGGCCAAAAAAGTGAAAAAGTATATTTTAACAAAACGCGATTACATATATATATATATATATATATATATAGACCCCTCTACCAAGAAATTTGTTTTGCATGCACACGTATAAAAATTGCGGTTTTTATCCAACGCGATCATAGGTTTGAACGTTGTTTTCAATTTAGACTTGTATATATATATATATATATATAAGTGCCTATAAATAGCAGCACATGACATACAAATCTATGGGAGTGTGGATTAATCAGTACAGAGATTAATTCAATTACACAAATAAAATTATAGATTGCCTAACAATGTAATTTTAACACACTATTTAGTATGTAAATATAAGAATGTTTAAAATATTTACAAAATGATGAAAATAAACGCAATATTTCGCTAGACTAACTAGCTTTATCAAGCGTGCATCTATCCAGGTGAAATCGGATGTAGATGATAAGAAACTTTTGCAGCTCAATGTATATGTTGCACTTGAATTTAGCTGCCTTGAAAATAATACATAATTTGGATGAAGTTCAAGATTTTTACAAAATTGGTAGTTGAAGTTAGCAACGTCCATTGGCCAATATTACAGGATAAAAAAGACGATGCTGTGTACTAAATTATTCTTTATCTTTCCTGTATCTTTTCTCATCTTTTTCGTTAAGACCATCAGGTTCTAAAGTGTGGAGTTGGTGGATCCAAAAATGTTCTCTTCTCCTTCTCGCCGTGGTGTCCCACTCGGTGTTGACTTCTATGATTTGGAAGGTAACATTATCAAAAGAATGTTTCGTTGAACGAAGATGTCTTGTGAGAGGACAGTTTTTGTTGGTTTTGTACCATGAACAAAACATGGTACAAAACCAACAAAAACTGTCCTCTCACAAGACATCTTCGTTCAACGAAACATTCTTTTGATAATGTTACCTTCCAAATCATAGAAGTCAACACCGAGTGGGACACCACGGCGAGAAGGAGAAGAGAAAATTTTTGGATCCACCAACTCTACACTTTAGAACCTGATGGTCTTAACGAAAAAGATGAGAAAAGATACAGGAAAGATAAAGAATAATTTAGTACACAGCATCGTCCTTTTTATCCTGTAATATTGGCCAATGGACGTTGCTAACTTCAACTACCAATTTTGTAAAAATCTTGAACTTCATCCAAATTATGTATTATTTTCAAGGCAGCTAAATTCAAGTGCAACATATACATTGAGCTGCAAAAGTTTCTTATCATCTACATCCGATTTCACCTGGATAGATGCACGCTTGATAAAGCTAGTTAGTCTAGCGAAATATTGCGTTTATTTTCATCATTTTGTAAATATTTTAAACATTGTTATATTTACATACTAAATAGTGTGTTAAAATTACATTGTTAGGCAATCTATATATATATATATATATATATATATATATATATGTATAACGCAATCATAGGTTTGAACGTTGTTTTCAATTTAGACTTGTTTATATTTTTTCGTTTGGGCTTGTATTATATTTCCTTCGAGTTTATATGATCCGTTCATCTTATTTCTAATATTTCGACTCTTCAAAATTCAAGAGTCTATCCTAAATTGAGGTAAATTATATGGCCTTTCAAATACCGTTTCGATCCATAACATCAATGAAGAGACATTAATTGTCGAAATCCGGATATGGTGTACTAAAACCTTTGCACGTTTTGTTTGCGGTATACCATCTTTCCCGCAAGTTTATTGTTTTCTGTTAAGTATTATAATTAAGATGTATTTATTATATCGGTGATCCGTTTATTTGGCAATCGTCAATGGCAGTCAGCAGGGTTTAAGAACATTTGTTGTTCGACCTGTTAGTCAAATGCATTTTGTTAAAATATACTTTTTCACTTTTTTTGGTCTTTTGGAAAATGTTGTTTGTGCTGTATTTAGACCCTTCTAACAATAAATTTGTTTTGCATGCACACGTATAAAAATTGCGGTTTTTATCCAACGCAATCATAGGTTTGAACGTTGTTTTCAATTTAGACTTGTTTATATTTTTTCGTTTGGGCTTGTATTATATTTTCCTTCGGGTTTATATGATCCGTTCATCCTATTTCTAATATTTCGCCTCTTCAAAATTCAAAAGTCTATCCTAAATTGAAATAAATTATATGGCCTTCCAAATACCGTTTCGATCCCTAACATCACTGAAGAGACATTAATTGTCGAAATCCGGATATGGTGTACTAAAACCTTTGCACCTTTTGTTTGCGGTATACCATCTTTTCCGCAAGTTTATTGTTTTCTGTTTAGTATTAAATTTATAATTAAGATCCGTTTATTACATCGGTGATCCGTTTATTTGGCAATCGCCAATAACAGTCAGCAGGGTTTAAGAACATTTGTTGTTCGACCTGTTAGTCAAATGCATTTTGTTAAAATATACTTTTTCACTTTTTTGGTCTTTTGGAAAATGTTGTTTGTGCTGTATTTAGACCCCTCTAACAAAAAATTTGTTTTGCATGCACACGTATAAAAATTGCGGTTTTTATCCAACGCAATAATAGATTTGAACGTTGTTTTCAATTTAGACTTGTATATATATATATTTATATATATATATTATATATTACAAACAGCACTACACATCTGGAAACATTTGTGCATATAATGATTTATAGTTAAAAACATCGTTAATTTATGAAACATAATGGAAATAAATAATGAATGCAGGTTTCAAGGTTATGTAAGTCACAGATGAATCGTTCTTTGTTAGTTTTACGGTATTGTTGTGGATCTATTGTTTTAAGGTTATTACAGTGATTAAGTTTGTTTATTCTTTCAGGATACACTTAAATTAATTCTGTCTACAGTTATGCATTTGAGTTTGCCAATTCTTTAATTCATTCATTCATGATCAAACATAATGTATTGTTAAATATATTTGTAAGCGTTTATTATTAACCCCTCCAAATTCTTTATTTCATGTCAGAACTCTGTAATTAAGTGCTTTTCGTAGATGTATGTCTCTCATGTTTGTATTTCGTTAACTGTTGTGTTATTAATAACTGGATTTGTACTTACATGAGCAACAATACGGGTGCAACATGTGTTTCAGGATCATATTATAATTCCGTAGAAACTGAGATCACCCCCGGTTTTGGTTGAATTCGTGTTGCTCAGTTTTTGGTGTTGTGCTTTGTGCACTGTTG